GTGGTGGGGGGGGGGGGGAATGAATGAGTCCGTACGTAAAATAACCCTAGTTGGCCCCAAATTATTTCCCACATTTGAAAGCATATAATATTATTATATATCTGGACTGTCAATAAAGGCTAGTTAAATTCTCGATGAGTGAAATAATATTAACTATAACTGGTCACAAATGGTCCTTAACCTAAATATTTTACAAAGCAGAGGAGCCGGGGGAGATCAGATCTCTAAATTGCTTTAATCACACTTCTTCGTCACATGAAATTATTTGGGCAGATACGGACAAAAAACATGGTTGACGATAGGAGATAAATTCGGACATGCATGTCGAAGCCATCTCATGTAAGAGTTTGATTAATTAACGAAAATCAGGTCATTAATTAATTAATACGTACCTCGGAAACCTCTGCTTGAATTAGCACCTTCCGAGACCCTCGAACATGCAGTTCGTTCCCTTGCCACTTCTTGTCGTATCCGATTTTATGTAATAACGAATGTGGTGGAACTTCTACAACTAAAAGCCATTTCATTTTAATTTTTCAACTTCTACTTATTTTCAATTTCAAATTTTCTTATATATATAATTGGATACAAATAATTCGTCGAGGTTAGTGTAATGACGGTGCATGAACGAAGAGATGGATTAAGCGGGTTTAATCGGATCTCGTGCTCATGTGATTGCAATATCTTATTTTAAGAACAATTTGTAATCAATTAGTAACCGACTAAAACTCGAGAAGTTTTCCCGATCTTTCATCAAGTATCAGTTAAAGGGCTCAAACCACGTTTTGACGTACGGACTCGTATTAATATTTGTGTCAACTAGGGTTTTAAAATTGTGTATTGTCTCTCCTCAATTTTCCATCAACTTCTACTTCACCGAGGTTGTAGATATGATAGAAAAAAAAAATGAAACATACGAAATGGCATCTAACATTAATGAGACATTTACATACGATTCATATGAGATGAAACAAGTTGATATTTCTCCACTCACCGGTTAATAGCACTTCATTTATTTTTAAGAACTACTCCCTCCGTTTCAAAATATTTGTAGTTTTAGATTATTTTTCATGTTTCAAAATATTTTTCATTCTACGTTTTCAAGATTTTTTATAATAATTTCCAATTTTATCCCTATCAAATTTCAATAAATTATTAATGATAATATTGTTTTTATCATTAAATAAAGGTATATGTGATTTTTTCTCTCTTTTTTTAATTGAAACGGATGGAGTATTTATAATTCGTTTATGTTATTTCACTCATCGAGAATTTAAGTAGCCTTTAATCATAATCGAGATTCCAAATAATTTATGGGATGAAATAACTTAAATCCCAGATGTCTATTATATATATTATTTCATCAAACCATGAAGAATCTTTTTGGGAATATTCGAATCTGTAATTCGCCAAAGAGTATAATTTTTTTTTAATATATATATACACACATCTTCCTCATCGGCGATACATAATATCATATAAATTTCAGGTTGTTGGCGAGATTCCCCATCTTGGTGTTATGGGCCTTAGATGGGCCGTATCACTCCTACATTAAGCACCGAAGGAAATGTTTTAGAGAACAAAAACAATTATCAAAATCAATCCGCCAAAATAATTAAAAACAGTTGAATTGTTAAAAATTATAATATCACAATAAAATATTTATAGGTAAAGTGCATTTTCTCTCTTCTTTTATGAATGGGATGAACAAACCTGTTAATTTTTTCTGCATCTTTCTATTTATACAAATTATTTTCTTGAAATATTTTACCTCAAACTCATATCTTATTAAGGAAAATTTTAAAAAAAAAATAGGAGAAAAGAGATGATTGGATAGTGAATTAATGAATATGCAAATAAAAATATTTAAAACCTACAAAGTTCCAAATCCAGAACTTGATCTGATTCAAGAAAATCTTTATGTATCATCGCCAGCTTGAACCACTTAGGGCTACACATGGGTCTAACCAAATCATTCAACTCATGGTTATTATTTATTGCAATATGGTATAATCGGTCCAATTTTCCCGACGGTAGTGATTGAATATACAAATATGTTAATTATTTACTCAATGCTAAATATTATCTGTATATACAATATTTGTATGACATGTTTTTGGCATAATTGATTCTTGATATGATGATTGGTTGTTTCAAAAAACGTAAAACATTTTATTTGGCTAATTGTATCATTACGCTATATTTCTTTTGGGTAATACTTAAGAAATAATTCAACATTTTAATTGTTTTGTAGCATTAATATGATAGATGATCTATTAAAAATAATTTATATACGTATAAAAGAAAATAAAATATGATAATATTACAATGTTATTAATTTGTGGTGTGACAAAAAAATTGATTATACGGATAACAAATGGATAAAAAAAAATAATAGATTTATATTTCATATATTATGGAAAGAATTTTATAGTTAAAAATATAAAGAAACAAAATCAGGCCTTAACCATTGCATTACTATGGATTTACAATTTACTTTGAAAAAAAATATCAATTATTCTTAAATTCGATAGAAATTCAAAGAATTTAAACCTTGCTAAAATCACAACGATAGTTACCGCACCTTTATATGCCACGATTGAAAGTGTCCTTCTCAATTATATCAAACTAAGGCAATGGTCTTCTATGAAATAACAAAATCCACCTCAACTCTCCACGTATATTATATGAATACTAATGAGCCGTATTATTAAAATACACAAACCTAGCTTAATTATCAATAATGTCATCATTACCGTTATCCCTATAAATACCCACACCTCTCTCGTCTCTTCTCACCACCACTCTCCAATTAAGGAATACAAATCCTCTTCTAAACCCTAAATTTCTTAACACCTTATTTTCTTTGAGGGAGAATGGCTTCAAAGAACTCAGCCACTTTGGCACTCTTCTTGGCCCTTAACCTCCTCTTCTTCACCCTAACCACGGCCTGCGGCGGCGGTTGTGGCCCCACCGCCAAACCCAAGCCGAAGCCCAAGCCGAGCCCTGTCCCCTCTGGCAAGTGCCCTAGGGACACCCTCAAGCTCGGCATCTGCCTTAACGTCCTCAAAGGCCTCGTTGACCTGCAGTTGGGCCAGCCGCCGGTCAAGCCATGCTGCTCTCTCATCGAGGGTCTTGCCGATCTTGAAGCCGCTGCTTGTCTCTGCACCGTTCTTAAGGCCAACGTTCTCGGCCTCAAGCTTAATGTTCCAGTCTCTCTTAGCCTTCTCCTCAATGTTTGCAAGAGGAAGGCTCCATCTGGCTTCAAATGCGCTTGAGATCAGTCAACTACGTGCATGCATGCATGCATAATCAATTTGTTATCGATTAATCTTTTTTTCCTTTTTCTTTTATTGTTGTTATTTCCGTTCCTCTTCGTCGTCGGTTCATGTCATTATTTGTTTGGTTAAATGATGGAATAAAGTTTGGAGTGTGCGGGAGATAATTATCAAATATAAATCACCCCCTAAACATCTTAATAATATATACCAACCACATGTTAAACAAAGATATTAATAACAATAATCGATAATAACAATATATATAGAATTATAGGACAATAAAACAATATAAGAACATATAGATGCCTATTTCTTCATCCAGCCACATGTTAACAACATGACATGAACTAATAACAGTATCGTACGTTGTTGTGAATAATATGGCCAGTCTCGCTCGTGGTTTTAAAATGAAAACCATTCTCACAACAATGTACATACATATTTGTTCTCATTAAATATCGAAATGCAGTACGGACAAAAAATGACAAGTTTTTGTAATAATCTCAATACACTTGAACGGTTGGTCCTAGAAATCACCACTTGTCATTTCTAAGATACTTACTCATACGCATAAATTTATGAGGAGTTGATTGTATAGATATTAAAAGTAGGTTTTTGATGGTGCCATAATACAATCTATTAACCTAAAGAAATAAGTTAAATACTTCCAATGAATGATTCGATGTCGTCATATATATACATATATATATATATAGAGAGAGAGAGAGAGAGAAAGAGAACAGTCATAAATTCAACCGATCTGAACTCACGGGCAAATCATTAGAACTTTGACAAATGGTAGAACTTATGTAATAGCTTCCTACCATAATCATGTAGGATTCAATGACAAATGGTTCCTCTTAGTCTTTCCCATTTGAAGAGAATCAGATCAGTCAATTGATTAAACAGATGAATTATTGATAGTATTCTTATTATTTTCAAATTCTCTATAATTTTTAATAATATTCGCAAGGTTTTTTCCTCGGGATCTTAAGATACTCACAACTAAGTATATAGGAGAGTTCAATTCCATCTCAATTAAGGTTTGCCAAAATCTTTTCATCTATAGTTCGATATGGCTTAAATCGTAATATTATTAGTATCTTATAGTACGTGTTTTTTCAAAGTTACTCACAGTCATATGTTAATTTTCCTTGAGATTGCATATCATATTGTTTATTTTCAATATAATTCCAAATAATGCTATTTTATGTGTAAGAAAAGTAAGGCCCAACCTGTCGTGTGAATTTTGAGTTCACGGGCGTCTTCATGCGATTGGTCAGATGTGATCCAAACAAATTTAAAAATCATAATATTATTAGTACACATGATTTCATTTAATAATTGGATTTGCATGCATAGAGCAATATATTATAATTTCCAGCAAATCATGGTATTAAACTAAGTTTAGTCCCTATCAGATCGTGAAAATTTTTAAATGTCTTGGCGTGTTCTGAAAATTTGGTTACCAATTATTTCTTTCGTATCAAGTGACACCGCAATGTTTGCCCTATAAAATTAAAATTTTATATTTTTAAAGCACATTAATAACAGATAGAGAGAGAGAGAGATTGCTATAGGAAATCAGGCCAAGAGACTAAGACAAGAGAGGATTCGAAAATAATCTGTGTGTATATTTCTTCAAGTTGGCAAGACGTACATATATACAGTCAAGGATCAATAAGAAACAGAGAGGAAACAGGAAATAAGGATAAAAGGAAAAAGGAAAGTGAAGCATAAGAGGAAAATCGTGAAGGGAAGAGAGATTAGAGGGAGATCGGAATCTTGCAAAGAGAGGAAGTTTCTTGATCTGGAGATATTACACCGAGATTGCAGATTGTATTGGAGAATCGGTGGAGCTTGAGTTTTGGCGTTCTTGGGCCTCTGACGTGTCAAGCCCATGTCCACTAATATTCCCCCTCAAGCTTGGAATGTGAGGATCGAGCATACCAAGCTTGGACAAGAGAGTGTGAAGCGTGTCCTTGGTGGTTGCCTTGGTGAACATGTCCGCGAGTTGATCTTTGCTCGGTGTGTATGTGAGAGAAATGAGACCGTTTATAACCTTCTCCCGAACGAAGTGGCAATCCACTTCGATGTGCTTGGTACGTTCATGAAATACTGGATTCGTTGCGATATGGATGGCCGCCTGATTGTCGCAATGTAAGGGTATTGCTGTTGAAGAAGAGATACCAAGCTCGGAGAGAAGTGTGCGTAGCCACATGAGTTCGGAAGTGGTGTTGGCCATAGCTCGATATTCAGCTTCGGCGCTCGACCTAGCCACAACGGGTTGCTTCTTACTTCGCCAAGTCACCAAGTTTCCGCCAAGGAAAGTACAATAGCCGCTAGTTGACTTGCGATCGCTTTTGTCACCGGCCCAATCCGTGTCACAGTAGCCGACGATGGTGGTGTGATTGTTCTTAGTCATCCAAATCCCCTTGCCTGGCGAGCCTTTGAGATACCGAAGAATACGTTCAACCATACACCAATGATGTTGTGTGGGGGCATGCATCCATTGGCTAACCTGGTTTACAGCAAAACTCAAATCAGGACGAGTTAGAGTCAAGTAAATAAGCTTACCTACGATACGGCGGAAGCGCTCAATGTCGTGAAACGGTGAGGAATCTGAGATGTCTTTGTAGTTGCTCTCAAGGGGTGTCGGGGAAGGCTTGACACCGAGTTTTCCTGCCGTGCTAAGCAAGTCGAGGGTATACTTGCGTTGTGACAAAAACAATCCAGATGGAGATCGCAAGACTTCAACACCAAGGAAGTAACAAAGCTCACCAAGATCTTTAATGTCAAACGTGTCCTGCAAATAAGTTTTAGTTTCGGCTATCCCTTGAGAAGATGCGCCCGTGAGAATAATATCATCGACATAAATAAGTAAAACAACAATGCCATGAGAATGAGAGAGAATAAAGAGAGAATGATCAGAATTACTCCGAGTAAAGCCATAGGCGAGTAAAGCATCGTGCAATTTTTGGTACCATGCTCGAGGGGACTGTTTAAGGCCGTAGATGGACTTTTTGAGACGACACACTAGTCCCTTATCGAGTTCGTATCCGGGAGGTGGTTTCATGTAAATTTCTTCATCTAAGTCTCCTTGAAGGAAGGCATTCTTAACGTCCATCTGCCAAAGAGACCAATCGAGATTAATAGCCAGAGAAAACAAAACACGAACTGTAGAGAGTTTAGCAACCGGAGCGAAGGTGTCGGTGTAATCTTCCCCGTAAGTTTGTGTGAATCCTTTTGCCACAAGTCGTGCTTTATGACGTTCAATACTACCGTCACTTCGAAACTTGGTCTTGAATACCCATTTGCATCCCACGGCCTTTTTGTCCGTAGGTAACACGGCTGGTTCCCATGTCTTATTCTTGTCCAGAGCCTGTAGTTCATCAGCCATGGCTCTTTGCCATACAGGTAGAACCTTGGCCTCCTCGTAAGTGCAGGGATCATCGGAGTTGTCCAGCCCACTAAGAAAGGCCTGCTCATGGAAATCAAGATGGGACAAGGAATAATAATCATGTAAAGGATAGGATACCGCGTGATGTCCCGCCTCCGAGTCTTGGTGATCTTGTTGAAGTTGAGCATAACGCTTTTGTTGAAGTCGGACACTTCTCCGAGGCAGAACAGGAACAGAGAAAGTCTGTTCGTCATTGCTGTCAATGTTGAGAGGGTGTGTAAGCTCATCATCAGGGAAGACAGCCTCGGTGGGGACAACAGGTACATCTGGAACATCTGGAGCTGGAGTTTCGACGTCATCTCCAGTTGGCAGAACTAGTGCAGGTTCCCCCCGGTCTGGTAACATGCTACCAATAGGTTCCCCCTCAGGGGCAGCACCGGTCACTAGAATAGGAGTTTCAACGTTAGTCCCAGCAGCTGGTTCGACGAGCTCAGCGTTCTTTCGACGAGCGGACTCGATGATGCCTTCAATAGTTGCATCGTAGCTTGGTGAATATGCAGTGAGCGTGTCCAGGTCTGATGGAGTAGAGTCGTGATAGAAGCTTCTGCTTTCATCAAACCGAACATCACGAGAAACATATATACGGCGAGTGTCGGGATGGTAGCATTTAAAACCCTTTTGATCAGTCGAATAGCCCACGAACATGCACTTGAGACTTCTTGGATCAAGCTTATCTCGCTGAACTGCAGGAACCAAAGCAAAACAAACACATCCAAACACACGTAAGTGATCCAAGGAAGGTTTGTGATGATTAAGTACCTCAAAAGGGGATAAGTCTCCAAGATTCTTGGTTGGTAAACGATTGATAAGGTAGCAAGCGGTGGTAACGGCATCGCTCCAAAACCGTTTAGGAACATTGCGGTGAAACATTATCGTTCGGGTGATATCCAATATGTGTCGGTTTTTGCGTTCCGCCACACCGTTTTGTTGTGGTGTGTGAGGACATGTCTTGTGATGGAGAATGCCATGATGAGCAATGAATGACTGGAAGCGTTGGCTAAGGTACTCTCCTCCATTATCGGACCTAAAAATCTTGATCTTGGCATTAAAATGGTTAGATACATAAGCATGGAAATTCTTGAAAGCATCGAAGACATCCTTTTTTGATTTGAGTAAGGTGATCCAAGTGTACTTGGATTTGTCGTCAATAAACGTAACAAAGTACTTATTTGAATCACGAGAAGGGCAAGGCGCAGTCCAAACGTCCGAGTGAACAAGATCAAAGCAATGCTCATATATAGTAGTAGAAATAGGAAAGGAAGTTCGACAATGTTTTCCCAAAGTACAAGCATCACACAAATTATTTGAGCTAGGCTCTTCGGGAAATAATAAACGTAAAACTTGCTGATGCGGATGTCCTAGACGTGCATGCCAAATAGCAGAAAGTGCAACTTCAGATGACAAATGGAATTGATCAAGGAGATAAAGATTGTTCTTGAGAGATCCTTTACCAAAGATAGCTCCCGTCTTAGTATCCTGGAAAAATACATCGTTAGCATCGAAAATAGCCTTGCAATTCAAATCTGAGGTAAGTTTCGGAATAGACAACAGGTTAGTTTTAAAATCGGGAACATATAAAGCTTTGATATCCTTATCAAACAGTCGAATAGTTCCCTGTCCATGAATAGGTGAGTGAATGCCGTTAGCAACAGAGACAATTCCATAGCGTTTTTCTAGAGAGTTAAACAATTCAGCATCGTGAAACATATGGTTGGTTGCGCCTGAATCAATAATAACAGGCGAAGACGAAGAAGAAAAACAAGCAGAAGAATTGTTACCAGATTCGGAAGTCGACTGAATCAATTGCTTCAACGTCTTAAACTCTGCCTCTGAAAACATCTCAGATGTTGCAGAAGTCAGAGCCGCATGTCGAGAGAGGGGAGTTTGATCACGATATTTGGCCGGCCGGAGATGTGGGTGTAAAATCCAGCACTTGTCCTTGACATGACCAGGCTTTTTGCAGTGGTCACACAACACAGGTTTCTTGTCGCGAGAGGGATAATGTGTTTTACGGAAATGAGCAAGTTCAAGATTACCTTGGAAGAGGTGTCGACCGCCTTCCTCACGCTTGATGAGCATGCATACTTCATTTAGCGAGGGAAGCTCGGATTGACGGAGAACATGATGAATAAGGTCACCATAAGTGCTATCCAGAGAGAGCAGGAGTGTATACACCTTGTCTTGCTCAACGCGTTTGGTGATGACTGTCGTGTCGGTGGAAACTGGCCGAAGTTCTTCAAGTTCGGCCCATAGGGCACTGAGTTCGCCTAGAAGATTATTAAAGGGCTTTCCACTTTGTTGAATGGAATGGAGAGATTTCTTAATCTCATAAATCCTGCTGGAATTTGACAGATTTCCATAAACTCCTTCAAGAGTTTCCCACAGATCTTTTGCTGTGTCTTTGTGAATGTAGGTAGACAAGATCGCAGCTTCAAGTGAGCTATGGATCAGGGAAAGTACAAGCTGATCCTCCTGAAACCATGTAGCTTTCTCCTTGTCGGATTTTTCGACAGGAACCGTCGAACCATCCTCTTGAGTCACCATCGCAGGAGCCAAAGGTTTGATATGCTCCCAAAGACCACGACTACAGAGAGTGGTTTTAGCTGCTTTGGACCAAATAGAGTAGTTGTTGCCGGTGAAAATCATCGGAATCAACCTTTGCGATGTGTTTTCCATTGAAACAGAATAGGTAAAAAAATACAGCGACGGAAAAAAAATTGAGAGAGATGATGGATCAATGCTCTGATACCATATAGGAAATCAGGCCAAGAGACTAAGACAAGAGAGGATTCGAAAATAATCTGTGTGTATATTTCTTCAAGTTGGCAAGACGTACATATATACAGTCAAGGATCAATAAGAAACAGAGAGGAAACAGGAAATAAGGATAAAAGGAAAAAGGAAAGTGAAGCATAAGAGGAAAATCGTGAAGGGAAGAGAGATTAGAGGGAGATCGGAATCTTGCAAAGAGAGGAAGTTTCTTGATCTGGAGATATTACACCGAGATTGCAGATTGTATTGGAGAATCGGTGGAACTTGAGTTTTGGCGTTCTTGGGCCTCTGACGTGTCAAGCCCATGTCCACTAATAATTGCTTTCACCTCTACAGACTTCATTGTTTGGTTAAAATTATGATTAAGCATCTGATTATTTTATTAGTGTGTTTTAATTAATTCATGTTTCTCTCTCTCAAATTCATTGAACTAAATACAAATAATATCAAAGAAAAAATCGGTTCAGAACATGAATCTCGGCTGCTTTGGGAGATATGGGACTTCTTGTCTCGTGGCTTTACAAGTGATGTTTCTAAAACTCTAACAAAGAACCAAAAATAGAAAGTATGGAAAGAAAACACTTCCTTACAACAAAAAAGGGAAAAAAAATAATCTCAAAGGCCTCTCTCTGATATGATCTTCTCCAGTCTTCGTGGAGGCAAATCTGCAGAAATTCAAAAACCTTTTATTTTTTTCAGTAGACATCAATTATCTTCGGAAACAAAGTTCTTCCTCTTTCCCCTGCAACATCAAATTCAAAAATAGTGTGTCTGAACAAGAAATGAGGTTCTTTTCTTGAGTTGAATGTGTGTGTGTGTACCTCTGGAACCGAACCCGGAAAGCATTCAAGAGAATCCAATCAGGAAGAAAGCTCTTCAGTGAATTCGCCGAAAATGTCAGGGCAATCGACCCAACTCCTCCCTTCTCGTGCTTCCCAGTACCCGCCTCTGTACTCGTACGTTCCATCTTCTTCCCGTCTCTCGAACCATCTCGGTCTCCACCCGCTTTCCTGAAGTTTCCTCGACTGCATATTTTCAATCAAGAACGGTTCTCCAACCATCTTACTTATCCCCTTTACATGATTTTCTTATTCTTTATCATAATGTTCACTAGAAAATATGAATTTAGCTTGATTGATTATAAGTTTCAATCTTGAGACAAGAATAACAAATCTTCATATTCTACCGACAAGAGTAATTAAAAGTGCAGATTATATAACATACCATCCTTTGCCTTCTCTCTAACCGTTGCTTCTCTGCATTTGCCTTCTCATATTCCCCGTTCTCAAGGTGCCTCTGATCTGGTCTTAGCCTTGAATCAGTGGGAGGGAGCTTCTCCTTTAAATCGTCCATAATTATAAAAAAAAAATTAACCCCAAGTTTAGGCAATGTAATTATAGAAGAAGAAAACGAATAAAACATCATGGAAACAACAAACAAACATACCTTCAGACCAAGCGTCAGCTCATTTAGAGTGATGGCAAACGATGTTAAGTTGTATCTAGTGAGATTAGGAGGTGGCTTCGTCCTTTTCCACAGTAACGAGGCATTTACCGTGGGATCACCCACTTTTGTCTTGCTTATTCCATCCATAACCGTATAATATATGCTATCATCCCATTTACCAAATATCGTCGCAGTCTTTTTGCCACTAATATCTTCTACAAAACCATTAACCTATATAAATGATTGTGTTGTTACTCAGATATTCAAGAACATACATATTGGCTAAAAATCAGTATGTTACAGAGCAAAAAACAGAATTTTAATGACAGGAATATATGTTTTGACTAACCTGGTGAGGATTTCTATCAAGAATAGATTGCTCCTTAAACTTGAGCGTACAAGAATATTGGCGATTCCCACGTATTTCCATAACTCCATGGTGATCGCAATACAGCTTACCTAGTATTATGTTGTATATAGTTGTTGTTACCTAAAGACAAGAAATATATAAAGTTATCTCAAGGCCAAACCTAAGATACGTAAAAGGATTGGAAGTTCATAGTGTTTATGTACCTTGCTCCACTGGAACATTTCTCCATCATCAAATTCAAGAGTCAGAACTCCTGAAGGTTCAACTTGAATTGATCTCCCCCAAAACTTCGACCGAAGATTCGTGTCACCCCAGAACTTCCACCCTTTACCTTCGCAGTGGCAGGCGATAATAGTTGGATGGTGGCTGACCTATATAACAAGAAGAACACATAACAATGAAACAGCGGATATAGAACGGCAGGGTTTATGACCACGGATTTGAAAGTATTTCCTTTTTGTCCTTCCCAAACATAGTTGCAAGACCAACTATATCTTCAGATGACATATTATTGATATAGTTATCATTCACAACAAACTGGCACATTCAGTTCATGCCTAGTCATATCGAGTTATAAAGCATGTGAAGAAATAAACACCTTCTCGGAGAAGAAACGAATTCCCTTCTCAGGATAGTCAGCTTCATAAGTTTCTCCAAGCAAAGGGTTAAAAGGTTTACAGTGCCGGCCTTCAGTGGAAGCATAACCAGAGACCGCAAATGCAGCAACATTCAGGGCTCTCAGTAGATTGTTCCCCTGGTAACAGAAAATTAAGTTTAATCCAACAGGCTGAATTAAATCCAAAGGCAAAAACAGAGCAAGGATATCACAAATATACAAGATCAAACAAGTATATGATATTTGAGGGTAAAGTACTCAGAAGTATTAGATGAATAAGCCCTTCTCGTCTCTACCTTTGGCTAAATAAGATCAAATTAAGAGGGAGAAGGCCAGTACAGAATTTTAGTCAAGCAGGACAAAAGCTTGCCTATCCATACGGTAGCAAATTACACGTCAAAGGAGGCAAATGTTGAGATCATGTGTTGAATTTCTTCATGTGGACTTACAGATTTTCCATATTCATATGCTCGGTCCAGAAGATAAGAATACTCCAAGTCTTCAAAACACTTTTGGAGAGATGATATCGGTTCATTGAAATAGACAGGGAGACAAACTCGTGTGAGATCCTTTCCAACATTGTCTTTGATCATAGACCAAAGACTTACACCTTTCTCTTTTTCAACTGGATCGGGAAGCTTTGTTCTTCTCTTGATATGTTTACATCCAGACCCAACATCAGGTTCAGTGAAGTACTCCACTGTGTCATGGAAGGAAGGCTCATCTTCCTCAGACACATCCTCAAACTCTTGTTTCTCAATATCATCAGATGAAGCAGTTGTGCTGCATTCTAGAAACCAAATGATGTCAAGCAAAACACACAAAAGGCCCTGTGCGAATCCACAGATGTCTTAAAAAATCAAAACAACACAAAACGTGAAATGAGAAAGGTAATAACAGATTCTCTAATGGTAATGTCATCATGCACATGCGTGGACTATAACTCAAAACTAGGCAGAGACAGATTTGCATGTCAGAATAACAGAGAGATAGAGTGAAAGGGAAACACGAGAGGCATTAACCAACAGATATTGTATGTACCACTATATTTTCCACGACCAAGGCTGGAAAATTCATGCTTTGTCAGCTGGTAGACATTGTCCTGGATCCCTGAAGCTTCAGCTTCGAGGTTAGCTGTCTGTACAAGAGAAAATTTTCACTATAGAATAGCCAACATGTATATGCCTCCTAGAATGTGAAACACTTAATCCTCAACAAATTCTGAAAAGTCACAGGACACTGTCACTCCAGTTGCAAATCACACCACAGAACATCTAGTCTTAGTAAATTGATACAAGAACAAGAACATGAATAAAACCTTTCATGAGATGTATCGAATTGTGAATTTCTCAGTGCTGTGGACAACCCAAGAATCCCTTGACAGATGGACAGCAGGAAAGCGAAACATTCATGTTCACCGTTAAGTATTTTCATCCAAAATCTTAGCAACCTGATCTTAATATATCTTTTCTTACATATGGCCAGTATGACTATAATTTGCTTAAAAAAACTCAAACAAACAAAAAAATAAGACTGGGAAGTAAATCTTTTTTAAAATAGTTATAGGTACTCTGCAGCTCAGAAACTTGAAACGTAACGTTGGAAAGCAACACAAGAATCACATGAACTAAAAAAACAAAAGGAGAAAAAGAAAACGCAAATTAAGCATTTCTAAAACACAAAATTGGTTATCCTGACTATTATTTCGATCAAGCATGCCATGTCAATACAAACAACAGATGTCAGTAGGGATTAACGGAACACCACAGTTTTGGCCCTAATCGGCTGAAATGCTGTGTTAACATAACATTCTTAAGCTCAACCACCAAACCCAAACCTAACCAGGTAGTCAGGGCCTACAAATATATATATATATATATATATATATATAGTGTGGACTATTGCATGCTCAAGGGTTTAGTCATATGAACACGAATTACAGTGGGTTTGAATGGAGGAAAAAGAAGAAACTAATAGCCAAGATCCAAGAGCCCAAGGCCATCATAAGCAACTCAACCAAACCAAAGCAATATAAAGGAGAAGAAAGAATCAATTTTACCTCCAGCTGCCTCAAAGCGTCAAGCAAGTCAGTCCGTTCTTGATGTAGAAGTCGAAGCTGTCCTTGCATTTCAGAGAATTCTGAGAGAACGATCTGCTCACAATCCTTTACAAGATTCTCACTCATTCCCTCTTCCAGTAAACGTTTCTTCAGCCTCTCAGTCGATATGGATAACTCTCTTGGTGATATGAGGGACAAGTTCCCATTAAGCGACCTGAGTGGAAACAAGCATCTCGTAGTTGCTAAAGCTTGTAACCATGTTGCTCTATCATTTTTAGAATCAGTCCTCAGATGAAGGGTCTTGGTAGCAGTAAATATATAAAACTTTCTATCGTCGGATTTGCTTTCCCGGAAAGATGAAATCTGCTGAAAAAACATTGAAGAAAACCCATCTAATTACAAGCTCAAGCCTCGAAGCAATTTGCAAAGAAACAAACACATAAGGTCCTTTCGACTACAAAAGCAAACATATGACAATCAATCTTTCAGCATGTTAAATACAATCCGATAAACAGCACACGTACACCAAAAACAAACTCGAATTATACAACAAAAGCACCATAAATTCAACGCTGGAAAAATATGAAGACACAGAACTGAACCGTGCGAATCAAGCTGGGTCTATGAGAACTACCGAAGAATGAATAAGATATTAGAATCTTGGTAATCGAGACTCTTTGTAAGTTGAGCAAAGCAAAGTTATTCCATTGCAAATAAGTTGACAACTGGTGTTTGGATAAGCTTTGATGGAGTATTTGATCAAGCAATTATTACCAAAGGTTAAACAAGAATATCCCTGAAAGATTAAGAACATGCCCCATCGTTTTCTGATTGTCAAATATGGCATACAATAAGTCTTCATACTTGGCAAAGCCCCATGAAGTGGTCTTAAGTCCCCACACTCCATTATTTCCTACAAACCAGCTCTACCATTCACCAATCAATGCCCGAAAACCCAAAAGACTATTAAATATAATATATATATATATATAAGCAACTGTTAGTGGAATCGCAGAATATACCGTGCACATCATTCCATTCCAGTGAAACAGAAAAAAAAACAGATAATAAAGTTTGCTTCTTTTTTTTATTTGGCCCAAGCAGAATACCAAAAGAAAAGACATGACAAAAAAGACACATCTAACTTTAGAAGGGGTCATTCAAGACAAGTCACAACAATCGGGCACATGCATGAGAAAGAAAGACAAAGAGCAAATTGCGAGAAGTACAGAAAGAAAGATTAAAACACGATGCTTTTGGTAATATAATGATACCTCAATTTAAAGTTCACAATTTTTAGTAACCCAATTTGACAAATCCATGCGCTTCTTGGCTGTTCTCCAAAAGAAAAGAAAAAGAGAACAAAGAAACCCTATATTTGACGGATCACATATGAGTTGAAACTGAACAATAAAAAAAATGAATATCATAATACCAAAAAAATAAACTGAAGATGGTTTAGTAGAACAGTGAATTACCAATTGGAAAACAATGCGACCGCAGAATAAAACCCTAGACCTACACTACAAGATCATAGCATCAGCAAAAAAAAAATTAAAAAATAGAACTTTGAAACAAACACATCTGTTGATGTGACCCACTAGAGATTAACAGCAAGTTAAAAGCTGTAGAATACCAGAGAGATTAATAAAATACGGAAGACGGAGGGGGAAAAAGAAAAAAGAACCAAAAACAAACTACGAAGAGAGCAGTGAGGAAGACGATGGTGACGATGATGAGAAAAGTCATAGAAGGAGGCAAAACAATTAATTTGGGATTCTTTCTGTCAGAAAAATCAACTAGGGTTTCATTTTTATTTCGCAACTTGATGAACAATACCATGAACCAAGGCTTCTTGCTCTAATTGTGTTATGGGAAGAAACGTTTCGTTTCCCCAGAAATCAGATTCCAGGAAAAATGAGCAAACATTTAAAGCTGTATAAAGAACGGAAATCAATAAATCACGAAAATGGAAATACTCAGGTGATTTTTCTTCAGGAATCAAAAATTCACCCAAGGGGGGAAAAAGTGAACCCATGGGTAAATTTCAAATCAAATTCAAGATACTCTCCGAATACACACCAATGGAAACTGCGTAGGTATATGTACGTATGCACATACCTTGAGATGAACAATGCCGACGGTTTTGTGCTGTTTCCGGCGTCCGCTGCAGCTATTCATCCTCGAGAGACGATCGGTGGAAATATCTCCGATCAGCCTCACATCCTCCGCCCGAGGGAGGAGATTCATATTCTCCGGCCGCCGGATCTTGGAATATGACAGGATCCCATTGCGGAGGAGGAACCACCGGGATCTCCATCCCTTCCCGTAGTTCGTCCACTTGTAGAGGATCCCGGCCACCGTCTCCGCCTCGGATCCCCCCGCCGGTTGCTCGGATCCCGCCGCCGTTTGCCTCTTCCCGTCGGATCCATCGGCCGCCGCAGTAATCGCCGTCGCCGGAAGGCTCCTCGACCTTGACAACGGCGCCGCCGTGTCCGGCGAACCGTCGCCGAACGCGTGGTGACTCTCCAGAGGGACACAGCAGAGAGGATGAAGCTCCTTCACCCACATTTTCTCCTCCACTCTCTCCCCCCCCCCCCCCCAATCACACGGCCTTATCAGATCTCGTTCCCAGACCGACGAGATTCATCTCCATCTTCGGAATCTGTTAGAGATCAGACGCAGAGAGGAATAAGGAAATGGAGATCATAGAACACCAGATCGAGCATGCAGATGTAGGGCTAATACACTTGATAAAGAAGAAGACGAAGAAGAAGAAACCTGAACTCTGAAACTGAGATTTTCCAAAGAGAGAGAGAGAGAGAGAGAGAGAGATTGCTCGACTGAGTAAGCTTGGCAGCAATTATACGCTGAGGCTATACAAAGGCTTTATGGAAAACACATACGCATACATATATTATGTGTATATAGATACGTGTGTATGTATATGCTGAATCAGAGAGAGGTTGGGAGCGAAGTTGGAAATTAAAGACGGTGGCTTTATGGTAATTTAGAAATGTGGCTGAGGTTATAAAGTGAAACTTCAAAGTTTTCCTCTTTTTTGTCAGAAAAAAAATGTTTCAGTTCATTTTTTATTTTCTTGTGATGGAAAATGTACAATTTGTTAATCAATAAGCGTATGAACTATGAAATGTGAATATTATTCATCAATATATCAAAAACGATGGGATTAATAATTATGGTATTAAAAATAAAATCTACCGGAGATATTAGAAAGGGAGATAATATTTACTATGTTCATTTATTACAAATATAGTATGGATGGACCGGCGTGGCATGGAAGACCCGGGACTGGCTCAGGGTCCCGCGATCTGACACGTGTCAGAATTTGAAGGCACATAGTATCTGTTGCAATTTATTAACATAATCAATCTTATAAATGACCCAGAAAACAAGTTTATATATGTAAAAAAAAAAAGTGTGCACAAATAAAGAGCAATATCCTTATAAATCAATGTTTTTTAATTTGAAAAATCAAAGTGAAAAGATACCTTAGAGAATTCTGCTTATTGTTTATTCTAATCAATATACGCCTATAGTTTTTAATCCATTTATCATCATCTGATTTGATTACAAATTCAATAACCTAACCCTAACCAAATTTATCATTTTATGGGAAGCACAATGGATAATTAATTACTCGTGACAAATTAATATGCAGATAACATAAACATATATATATATATATATGTATAATATAAATATAGATAGTGGTCTAGTAGTTGTGGAAGCACAAATTATCGTTCACATCCAGAGTTTGAATGATGACATAAATATATATTATAAAAAAAACATATATATATATATATCTGAATTGGGTTGTTTTGAACAAAATAATTTTATGGGGGATATTAGGAAATAACCAATAATATGAAGGCATAAGTGAAATTATATATATATATATATAATTTAGGAGGTACGTTTGGGTTATGCGATTCTGTGAGGCTCGACGTCCAACTCCCCCACGGCTTTCCCGTTTTTCTCGCACAGTTTCTCGTCTCCCGAGATTCTCTTCCTTTCCATAAAATATTTGCGTATTTTTTTCATCAAGACAAACTACAGAAGTTATGATTCTAACAATTTTATTATTTATGAATAACTATTTTAGCCGTTTAAATTGTTTACACAGTTAATTAGATTATACTTATCTGTTTATTTTTTTCCTTTTTATTAAATAAAATGGGTACATTTTTTAATATAATTAATCTTCCGATTTTATTTACATATCGTATCATCAAAATTTTATTATAATGAATTAAAAATTCTTTTTTATCAAAAATTATTTTAAACTTCAAAAAATAAGATGACTTTTTAATTTAACTTAGAAAATTGTACCAATATTTAATTACTTATATCCGTTTTTATAATTTATTTATTTTTAATTCATGGAAGAACTAAAATATGTATTCATCATTGTACCTACCTCTTGTTCTAAAATTTCAATTAAAGAATATATCGTGAGTGTAAATCGGGAAATGGAGGTTTTAATGAAGCTACATTTTACCCATAATGTAATGTATTTTGTTAATACCAAACAATTTTTCTAAATTCGTTTTTACTAAAATTACATATCTAAGTTATTCATCAATTCAAGACTATAAGATTTTCAGTTTAATGGCTTCATATCTAAAAATAATAATAATAATAATTGCATAAGGATATATTTCATTTTTTAATGAACATTTGATATTATAAAGTAAAATTAAAATTTAAAACCAACTAGCAATTATTATTTTTTAATAGAGATTATAATATTTTTAAAGTAAAATTAAAACTCAAGTATTAAACGAGTATAAAAATCGGTCAAGAGAAATTATAGACATCTTTGTTATATCATAGTAATTTTCTTAGATCAACAGATAAAATGAGCTATCTTATAATATTACAAATATATGAACGATATAGCCATTTTGTGAAACTATATAACATAATATTTGCTTTTTAAATTTAGGATTTCGTTAAATTATATTTAGAACCTCTTTTTGCAATCATAATAATTCATGGTTTATTATTTCTCTATTTCTTCCTCGCCATAAATATATTATTTATGAAAGAAAATAACTTGTGGGGAAATAAAGAAAATAAATAAAGCCGATAATTTAGTAACGTTAGGGTGTGGACCGGTCTTGTTGAATCATGTCGGTTAATAGCCAATGACATTTTTAGGCTTTTTTAACTTGTTTGGTTTCTGCCCATTTATCAGACCAACTAACCTCATTAAACATGTGTCTATATTTCACTGTTTACAACGCGTTCGTGACTTCGGTTTTTCTTCTAACCAAATTGATTCGTTAAATTAAATGTAGTAATATTTCTAACTCAGCGGTGAAAATGTGTATATATTTACATGAAAACATGTATATATATTTATTTCCTTCAAATATAATTTAATTTGATTAAATTTTATACAGTCCAAACAAATCTTATTGTATGTCACTTTCTTTTTGTGAGATATTTAATAGAATTCAAATGAATAGAAACCAATTATTAAACTTGTTTAAATCTTATCATTCTCTGATTATATTTGCCTGACTGCTAAAGTGAAACAAAAAGTCAAAAAACGAGTTGATTTGGTTTTGGAAACATTTTTCATATTTGTCACGTATTTTTTTTGCAATATATGAGGAGAATCGTATAATTGAAATAAAAAAAAATGGAATAGAATATCATATTTATATGCTTGTGTAGGAAATATTGGAAAGATAATTAATGAAAAATATTGGAAAGAGAAATATATAAATGTTGCAAAGATAATTGGGATTTTGTTTAGAAATAATAAAATGTATTGATAATTCCAAAACAATATTGCTTTCAAAGGAAAAAGAAAAATGCATACAAACCAAGAAGGAATCAAATCAGAATCGCAAACTCCCAAACAAATATAAAATAAAATAATATAATGTTATAACTTTGTGAGACCAAAATTATCTTATGCTTAAATATAAAAAAATAGTTTTGTGTTCCTCACAAATGTGGTGGTCCTTTTCCAAACTTGGATTAAAGGTAGTTAGTCCCAATCACATGTCTACTCACCAAATTATCAAAAATTACGCGTGTCATATATATATATATATATATATATATATATATATATATATAAGTTGATGAAATAATCTTTCCTCTTTCCTCTTTTCACAATCTTAATTTAGATGATTATTCATTTAGTTTTTTTTTCATCATTTTGATAATGACTCTTTATTTGATTAAATACATTACCCTTTCATGTAAAAAAAAAATGCAAAGAATACCACGACATGGATTTTATAAATATCAATCAATACTCATTCCATGCGCATATGGAAATTTTTTATAAAAAAAAAATCAGATTCTGAAATATATGTGGACGATATTTATAATAGGAAGCAGAGATTATTAAAATTTAAAAAAAAATCAAAAGAGTTAGTGTGTGAAAAAAAAAGAGAAAATAAGAAAATAGACCAAAGCCTTTGCATATCAAATCCATGTTTCACAAGTATTGAACATTGCACACTCATACACCCATCCCCCCATATCTCCATGATTTCAATTTCAAACCTCTCGTGGTGGGACAGCTTTTGTAAGTCCAAATATCTTAATTCAAATTGCATATATTTATTTAATTTGTTGAAATTTAATCGAAAACAAAATAGAATTGAATTATTTTAAGCAAAATTTATTTACAAATATTTTTTGTAAAACTAAAATCCAGTTAAATTTTTAATCGAATCTGATACACAAAAAATGAAATATTTAAGTTTTTGTAAATCTAAAAAGATTAACTCTACCCACCATCACGTGACATGTGCCTGTGCCCATTCTGCTCATTATACTCTCGAGATTATATTATTTATTGTTATAGGTATAGTTATTATTATGCATGCTTATTATGTAATTGTGTCTCCATATTGGTCACAGCAGATCCAATGTTTAGATTTTAAGAATTTTATTTGCTTTTCTTAGAATTCAAGAAGTCCCCACGTGATCATTCGCTTTAATTTCCTAGTCAATTTGCAGTATAATATCAAATAACATTAATTTCATTTATTAAATACTATCATACTAGGATTTTTTTTAAAAAAAAAAGAGAAAACACATTCGTTTAACATAATATACATACCATTATTACAATTAGACTTTTTACTGTATATGAAACCACTATAATTATAATTACAAATTTTAAATTTTACAGCTCGTAATTTTTGAAATTAAACTTTCTATCGTATGTCAATGTGAATTATTCCATTCACAATGTACTGGGCCATTATAAAAAATATCTTTATTTTGTTATTTTTACTTCAACACATATTATTCTCTAATTGTGACCATATGATATGTGTGATCCAAAATATAGTGTGGTCACATGTTGGTCTTATTGTTCATAATGTTAAATTTATGATGTTTTAATTAAATTATTAGTAAAATATAAAAAGTATGAACATAATGAATTAGCGTGATCACCATAAATTTAACGTTATAATAAATAAAATTAAAATGTGACCAAACTATATTTTAGATCACATGAGTCATATGGTCACAATCGGAAAAAACCATGTGTTGAAGTAAAAAATAGCAAAGTAAAAATATTTTTGATATAATGGTCAAGTGTTTGTCGTCTATCCGCATACGCACTAAAAGAAATTACTTCAATGAGCTGAGTTAGAATATGAATGTACAAGTAAGCCTCCTGCAACATAAATCCAAAATTATTATTTCTATTTGGAAGAATTCTAAAATCGTATTAAAAGATTATAAAAATGGAATAAGCAGTTTAGTTAAGACTAAAAATTGAGATTTGTGTTGTATAAATCTGTGAATAAAAGAAAGTGACGAATGATACGATACACGTGTAAAATAACCGGTAAATCAGATACCAAAAGTGGGCTTTCTAATGGCTGCTGTGGGGCATGAGTAATATTTGCAAAAAGAAAAAAAAAACAAAGAAAGAAATGTGTATGTGTATGTGTATGTGCATGGCACAATGGTATGAGAGATGAGCCAATCACATGGGAAGAATCAGAGGGTTTCCTCTTTGAACTTAAACTGGAGTTGGGTGAATGATGCAGGTCATGGTAATGACGAGGCCCCTCTTCTTCTCTGGCATCAGTTCAAGCCTGTATGTTTTTTTTTTTTTTGAGTTAGGTCATGGTCACAGGATATGTTTTCTTCATTTTTTTTTAATTTTCTTCATTCTTGCAAAAAATAAGGGTATATATATACTTGAGAGAGAGAGAAAACGGCCAAGACCAATTGCCCATCATCTCTGTAATCTCTTCTAGATCCTAAACCCTAAGCACACCCCGGGTTTCTTACAAGTTTCAACCTTGAAGGGTCAGAAAGGAGAAGCTCAAGAGGGTATTTTTATTTTGTGAGGCCACACAAAACAAAAAGACTTAAAAGAGAACAAGTGTCCTTGTTGTTCTACAGAAGGAAACCATGTGAACGGAGAGAAGTTTCCAGTGGGAGGGTGTGTTGTTCAACATTGTACCATCCATCTTTTCTCTGCCTCTTCTTTTGCAACACCCAAAACACACACGGGGAAAACAACATAGCAAATGCCACCACCAAGTAACCAACAGTACTGTTCTCTATCAAAACCCTATTCAAGTTTTGGTAGAAATACTAGAAAGCATTAGAAGCAGATATCGAACCGAATAAAAACCTCGACCTGATTGTCAGTCCAAAATGAAACACACATACCAAGAACTGATAATCATCATTCCCAGTCTGAGACTTGAACCGAAACAAGCTCCAAACTATACTGAAATACAGGTTTTGGACAACTAACGTTTTCAGTTCAGTTCTGTTTGGTTAGTCAGTTAGCCTGAAACACAGTGATGGCATACTACGGGTTAATCCACCTAGAGATGTGGTTGGGTGGGGGTTCAAGCAAAATGTTCGGTCGAGTTTCGGATATCAAAACTCGGGAGAACAGAAAAAATTCCGGTTCGGTAAGTGAGTTGAGCTGAGGCTGAGGGTGGTTTAACCCAAAATTTATCCAAGAGGACAAGAACAGATGCGTACCAGGAAAAAGGTGGACATCAATATGAGGTCATAATCATATCAATTGAACTGAAATTGGGGGTTATTGCTTTACACCTCCTTCCCATATAAGCTTTGCCACTGTTTCTCCATCTTATCAACAACTAAGTCACAGCAGAAATTGCTGCACAAATAGCTTACACATAACAAATTCTGTCAGCGATAATTTAGCAAGTTTATGATGTCACTATCAATCAATCAGTCACAACTTGCCAATCCCATTAATACATTGAGGAAAAACAAGGGATCATTCATCATATGATGTCGAAAAATATAATTCAACAAATAAACATGTAGGCTAAGGGCCAAACTAATCATGCACCTTCAATAATAGCTGTTTCAAAAAAAAATAATCTATACTTTACTGAATTTACTCCACGAGTGTAGAACACCCAGATGCGGGGCCTCTGGTCGCTCCAGTAACCTTAAACATCCCCAAGTTACTGACAATGAGAATCTGCAGTGGTCATCTACGGAGTTGCAGCTTTTGCACCTCTGAAGAACATAGAATGGTTTAGTTTCGTACAAGAAATGTCGAAAGCTGAAACCGAGACTGAAATTGATTATGCCTAATGGATGCATTACTAAACAAGAAGACTTGGACAGCTTTCACCAGACCTAACAAAAGATGAGAATATCAAACCATAGAAGGCCAAAGGTGGCTGAGATGTCAATAGAAAAACCGTATCCAATCTTACGAGTATATATACCCAGCACAAAAAACCGAAGCTATCGGGTATTCGAAAGTCATTGAATCAGAGGAGCCAATGATAAGTTACTGGCAATTTAGTAGTTGTGTCTTTGTCTGAAGATAAAAGTCTCTGTAACATAGTCAGCAAAAACCAGTTGGCAAGATTAAGAAAGGCAGAACCATATACTTATTCCCAACATCGCAAATGCTAGTGTTTTCTGAATCTCCTCTTCTTCCACCAAAAATTCTCAATGAACATCAATCAAGAAACATGCACCAATTTGGATGAATATCTCTGCAGGTGTCTAAGGATACTACAGTCATAGACAAGTTCATTGTTTTGATCAAACGAGAGGGAGGGACCGTACCATGGAAGGCTAAACAACTGTTAAAAAGTGGCATTGATGGCTAAAATGTTAATCCTTGAACAGAGGAGTAGCTAGATATTCTCAGCCGACAATGATACATTCAAGAGTGAAACAACAACAATTACCACTTCATGAACAGAGATTTCTTCTTCTCAAAGTAATCGAACCCATTGCAATTTGGATTCCTTGAATCCTCGAATCGGGAGAAGTACAGTAAGAATGTTCATAAGAAACCAAATCAACCTGATGTAACAACAGCATGACATTGAATACATTTTACCTCCCGAAGATCTCCTCCAACCGCATAAACCGAAGCACGAAGAGAGCCTCCAGAATCCCCAAGCACGCACCAGCAGCAACATCCAGCACAAAATGCCTCCCAAGAAGAACCCTAGACATGGCGGTCACGCAAGCCCAACCCCACAAAACCGCCACAACCTCCCCCTTCACATCGCCATCGCGATCCCTAACCCAGTCGTCGAGGAAAGAGTAACCGATACCACTCACCGGAGCCGCGGAGGCCGAAGAGAAAAAATGGACAGCCGCCGCGACGAAGAATACCCGAGAAGCGTGGCCGGAGGGGAACGAGGAGTGATCGGCGGAGACGGCGGCGGACATGGAAGGATGGTTGTAGGCGGGGCGTGACCGGCGGAAGACGAGCTTGACGGCGAGACGGCGGCGGACATGGAAGGATGGTTGTAGGCGGGGCGTGACCGGCGGAAGACGAGCTTGACGGCGCCGACGAGGAGAAGATCGAGAAGAAGACCGACGAGGAAGGGGTGGAGGAAAGGCCGGAGAGGAGGGGAGAGAAGGAGGGAGAGGGAGACGGGAAATGAGAAACGAAAGTCAGCAGAGATCTCCAGGAGGAGAAGGAGCGACGGCGGTAGAAATGGCTTTGCCGCAGTATGAATTGCACCGGAAACGGAGGCGTCCGCCGCAAGGATGCGGCCGAGGAGCGGCGACGGGGGCGTCGACGGCGCCATATCTCGTCGATGGGATCTGGAGATGACGAGGAAAGAGAAAACGAATAGGAAAGAGGAAAAAAAAAATAGCACAGAAAGCGACGTCGTTTACTGTCGCACGAAAAGAAACGACGTCGTTGAGCTGAAGACGTTCTTACGGGCCTTTTAGGAAGCCCATTTAAGAAGTGCAACTATCGATGGGCTAATACCAGAGCCCACGACATTAAATACGTTAAATGCAGTTATAGTAAAATATATTTACTAGTTACCGGATTATTGGTTTAAAAAATGAGTTGGTCCAAAAAAACATCTTTAAAAAACATTATTTACCCAAGCTGTTGGACCGACAATATTTCATACGAACAATATCGGTGCCCTAACTAAAAAATTTCCAAATTACTATATTACATATTTTGTTTCCCACGAAAAAAATAAAAAAAATAATTAAAAAAACAAAGGCAATATATATATAAAGATAGATTATGCAAAAGTGTACAAATCTTAAAGTTGTCGCCTCGTGTGGTTGCAACTTGAATGTCGTTTGTCTCAGTGTACGTGAAGCCTCTTTCATAGCGACGCCTTACTTGTCACATCCCCCTTCCCTTTGTCTTATATTTTCCTTCCTCCTCTATGATTTTTCGATTCCTATCGTTTCACTATTTATTATATAATGTTTTAATTACCTTTTCACCTTGCTTAATATTGTCATCGTTTTCAGTTCATACATTTTTCATATATATATATATCGTGTTATTAAATAAAATATTATTCTTTTATTGATTTCTATTTTGGAAAATTTTAGATTCTTTCCAAAGAAAAAACTACAATATTCACCGAAACCTATATCTCAAAGCACCTCCCATTATTTTTCATTATAAATTTTAGTGAAATAAATAATTTGTTATTATATCAGTTTTTACCTTTTTTGGGTTAGTTCCTTTGAGTTGAAGAAATCGATATCCTTCTAAATGATAGTCACTACTCCTAAACTTTTTCGTTAAAGTTACTTTGAAATTTTCCACCAAAACTTCTGTGAATATTTTAAATTAGTTTTTTTTAAACTTAATTTAAGAAAAAATTAGGTTCAATTTCTATGGAAAAATTTGTATTATATTTGCATGAAAGCTCCTAATGCAGTTCCAACATTAATTCGTCGTTGATAAAATGAAAATATTATTTTTTCTAATGATAATGTTTAGACAAAAACGTTTTTGGAACGTCTTTAAAAGAAAACATGTCTATTTGATCGGATTCCTTGTACATATATCAATAAATGCTGTCCGATAGGGGAGAAATGAATTCATATTTATGGCTACTGGTCTCGTTACAACTGATATCGCAATTACAATTTCACAATAAATTCTATCCGACAAAAAATTAAATCATTTGAGTTCTCGACATTGTTAAAAAAGACACGGATTGTCACTTTGTTTTCCTCATTGAATGGAAATTCTGCCCCCTTCACCCAACTCCTTTTATTACTCTCTCTCTTTTTTATTTTTTCTTTTTTTTTGGGTGTAAATTCTTCTTAAATATTTCTAAAACGATATAAAAAAAAATAGAGGTAATGAGTGTATTCACTTATATTGCTTTTGACTGTCTTTTTTTATTTTTCGCGATTCAACGAATTAAATCGAAAGGTAAAAAAGAAGAAAAAATAAAAACAAGTCAGAATCTGAGAACCCACGTTGACATGGGCCACGAACCCAAGATGCCGAGGGTAGATTCGTAATTTCATCCACCAGAACACCAACCGATAAAACGCCCGTTTTTAAGACCGCGAACAATGCTCATACACACATACATACGTATATACACACCCTCTCTCTCTCTCACCCACCCGCAGAGACTTCGATGGACAATGAAAGCTCCACGAACATCTAGAGAGAGAAACAGAGTCTCTAACTTCTAGAGAGAGATAGAGAGACCCCAGAAACACAGAGACAGATAGAAGAAGAAACCGGTCGGAGAAGTAAAACGGATCCTGAACCCGACAACCCGATTATGCCAAGCGGCTGGGTTAAATCTTTGCAATGCAAATCCAAGGCCTTCGACGATGTCTATCACTCCAACGGTAAACTTCTCATGCCCAGTTACAGTTGCAGGAAGAGCTCCCAGAGCGTCAGGGACGTGGTCGATACCCGACCCGGTAGAAAAAACCCGAAACTCGATCCGAATCTGAGGCGTATGCGCTCTTATAGACCCGAATCCGACCCGAATCCACCTGCCCGAACCCGCCGGAGCGCCTCTGCTCGGACGCCGGACGCGGCGGTTCCCGCGCTGACCGAGTTGTCCGAGGGACACCCTTCGAGGAACGTCGTGGATATCATATTCCAATCGAGTTGGAGCCCCGACGGGTTCCCGGGTCGGGTCGAGATGATCTTCAAGGTCGAGAACGGGTCTAGGACGGTGACCCGGTTCGAGGAGTACAGGGAGGCGGTGAAGTCACGCGCGTGCGGGGGCGCGTGTGAGGAGGACGCGCGGTGTTTGGCCGACGGGAACGAGATGATGAGGTTTTACCCTTTGGGCCCGATCCCCGGCGGAGTTAATGGCGGCGCGTGGGCTTTTCCCTGCCAGAAGGGAACTCCGGCGGCGGCTGCAACGGTCTGCACGTTTTCCGGCAGCGGAGAGGCGCATGCTCGCGGCGGAGGCGGAGGAGGGAGGAGGGCGATGCTGATCTGTAGGGTGATAGCGGGTCGGGTGGCAAAGAAAGGCGGGTACGGGTCGGACTCGGTCGCGGGTCGCGACGGCGAGTTGATTGTGTTCGATACTCGCGCTGTGTTGCCTTGTTTCCTAATCATTTTCAGATTGTAAACACAAAAGTTAATTGATAAAATAAAACCCAATATTCTAATTTTTTTATATTTTATGTTGTTTTTCCTCTATTTACTGAAACCCTGAAACAACGGACCAATTACGTTCCTCAAAAATTCAAATACGGTTGCGCTATATTTTTTTATATTTGATATTTGTTCAAGTCTCCGACCAAAATCTCGGCTCTTTATTTCTTTGGTGTTTGACTAACAATAGTGGCAATGGGAGAAACATAATCATGGCAAATCAAGAGGACAATTAGGCGAAGACTAATCACAAACCTAATATTATTAGGATCACATCCCAAATGGAAACCCTAATCATAGTTTTTGACATCCGGAAAATATATAATTCGTCTCTAATTATACACATAAACAGTTTGTCGACACCTCGTGGGAAATCTTGGCAAAAGATTTAAGCACACGTCATACACTACTACTAATGATGTAAATTTAGTGATTAAATTTTTTTTAAAATTTAAATTTCAAATCAAATATCGAATTATACTGTTCATTGTTGTTAGATAAACCTGAAAATTAGGTATCTAAAACAGTTAAACAGACTGTTTACAAGTCTTTTCAATGGTTTCCGACCAAAGGTCAAATAGGAAAAGAAGCTAGTATCAAACATTATCTTAACCATAGGCTATGTAATTAAATATATGCGATTTAGTATTGTTGGTACAAAGATAATTAACAAATACGTATCAATCTTGAAGTATAATCATAGTGAAGACGTCTGATCAATTTGAATTTTATTTTAATAACCAAATAAATCATATATTGGTACGACATTAATGAAGATTCTTTGCAGCCACCGAACACAGACAGCAACTGCCCATCAGATGAATGAAAGACAGAAGTGAATTACAAGTAATTAAACTTTGCCAACCATCCAGCTCCTCATTCTGTCCAAATCTACACCCATTGTAATCATTCATTAACATTATTTTGTGTGTATATATACACACACATATGTATGTGTGTGTGTGCGCCATGTATAATTACATCACCAGTATTGTTGAATTATGTTTGATCATTATATATATATACACATGCCTGGAGGTGATCTTGCTACCGAATTTGTTTATTTATTTGATTAATTTAATCCCACGTTATAAATTTGTGAACCAATTGTGAATTTCGTTTCTCTATTCTTGCATAATAATAGATGCTAATCAATCCATAAAAAGACATACGATTTCTCCAATCTTGCATAATATATGCTAATCAACCAATTATGATTTTCGTTTCTCTATACTTGCATGAAAATAATCAGTATTTACATCACTGGTCAAATCCATAACAAAAAAAAAATAGTTTTAAATAATCTGTATCACTTGTAATAATTTCGAGCAATTACGAACGGTTTAGTTTATGAATATAATAATAGTTTGTTAATGTAAATATTCAATGAAATAACATAACATTTCACGAAAACAGAAGAAGAAAAGTGTAGTTTTGAGCATTCTTTTTATTTTTACAAGTCGTTTCATTTAAAGAAATAGAGATATGAACATACTTTTTTGCCCGGAAATTACAATTTCCCTTTTGGTTCGAATCAAAATTAAACCGGATATAACCAAAACGATAACCGATGATTGAAATAAAAGATTAAAACCGGATGTAACTGAACCGATAACCGATGACTGAAATAGAAAGACTCACTTCTTCGATCTCTCCATTGATTCTCTAATTTACAAATCGTACCGGAAAAATGATCATCGGTATTCCACGAGCACACACAATGGCTTTCCCTTCAATCGTTGTCGACCCTACAAACGTAATACAAATTCCCTTTAAATTTCGTACAACTAATATTAGATTTGGTTTCATTTATTGTAAGAATAATGCGGTAGAAGATTAAATAAAAATGTATGCAATATACTAACCTTCAATTCAGGTAATTCTATCACACATGCACATTCCACCACTTGTGCTCCAACGCGTTCTGAAAACAAGAAAATTGATTCGGAAAGTAAGAAAATAAGATGAAATTCGTTTCAAGATTTCACGTAATGTTAAATTGAATTCACGTTAAGGATATTATGATAATGGGCATTTTTCCTGTGCGAAGGGATGAAATTGAAAGGAAAAAAAAAAGTACCGAGCAAGTTCATGGCGGCGCAGAGAGTGCCGCCGGTGGCTATGAGATCGTCGACGACCAAAGCCGTATCGCCGGATTCCACCGCTCCGACATGCATCTCCAGCCTGTCCCTTCCGTACTCCAACTCGTACTCTTCGAATATTGTTTCTCCTGCAATATATATATACACTTGTCAATATGGATATAATGGTGCGAGAGATAAGATATGAATATGAGATTATAGAAACGTTAGAGATAAGAACCGGGCAATTTCTTGGGTTTCCTCAGGGGTACGAACTTGGCTCCGATGGCTAATGCGATCGGTGGACCGAATATGAATCCACGAGCCTCTATTCCTGAAACCCAAAAAAAAAAAATCGATTATTGCGCTTTTGTTAGAAATTTCAGAAAACTCTGAAATTAATGAACCGTCATGCTATATGATATAATAAACCACTGTATAAGAAATCGATTCAAAGTTTTGTTACATGCAGTAATAATTTTTAGTATAATAAGAATCCTACAAAATCCAAAAGGAAATATATATTTACACATATTATTCATATCACCATATATATAATATGGAAAACGTAGAAATGGCACGTACGTGCATGCGGATGTATGGATAATGTAATTCCATAATAAATAACTCTAATCTTGTATCATTTTTAATATACATTTTGATAAGAAAGAATTCGTTATGACATAGCACATAATATGCGTTAATTCTCTACACGGAAAGAGACAACAAAGGGAGAGAAAATAAGGCATGCATACATGATACATCATCATTAAACCAAAGAAATGAAAGAAGACCCAACTCAAAGCTCACATCATAAGTTGGGTCCAACACATTTTTCTATAAATTAAAAAAAAAGTGGGAAATGCCATCCATCACACAACCACCATCCATCCAAAAACCATAACGACCCCACCATCCACGCACCATCTTTTAAAGAACTCATCATATACACATACACATATACATATACATATATATGCATGTATGTATATGTATGACGGGTTTTAAAGACAGGAAAGGGAAGATGAGCCTTTGCAAAATGATAAGATGAAAGAATCCAGGGAATGTCTTGTTTCGATCACAAGTCAACGGACAAACCCACTCATTGAGAGGATTTTCATGCCCTAATTAACCGTTGAATCCTCTCTTTTAAATCAACATTTTTATTTCAATGTTATAACCCTAACGATGATTTTTTTTTTTTATGAAATATGCATCTATTGACCAAAACAATTACAGTTTCCTACCAAAAAATATATCAAGGAGGCCTTGTGATATAGAACCCTAACGATGATTTAGCGAGAAGAAACTGAGGTTTCTATTCTAACGTTAGATTTAAGTAACTATATGATTGAAATTTGAATAATGTGGAAAAAAAATTCTCGAAAGGAATGCGGTGGTCCGACATTTTCATAATGTACATGCTGCGACAAGATCAAGTGTTATAAAAGATACACTGCAGATTCTTCGTGGTCTAAAAATGGAAATTAAAATGATGATCAGATACGTACAGTTCTACGGACCAAAGCAACGTCTCTTTATGCGTCACTTGGTCCACTCTTTCCCGGAAAATCTTCCGAGTGCAGGAGTTGGTAAAAATATCTAATTTATTCCAACCTTAAATCGGAAAAAGTTAATAAAACTTAATTTAATTGGACCGACTGACATTATACCATATAATAAATTGTTTATCGAATAATAACCGATCACTCATTCTTTTATTTAATAGCATTGATTTGCGAATTCTGTAACCGATGAAATATTCATTTAATAAAATAAATATAAGAACCAAATCGAATCTCTGTAATATCATTTGCTCCCACTTCGAATAACACCAATATTGAATCGATAAATGGAACGCATCTACCTAGTGTTTAATAAAATTAAAAATATTTTTTTTTGGCAACCTTATTAATTAAAAGAAAAACAAATATTACCTGCAACAACTGAGATGTTCCTGTCTCTATACCTCTCAACAAACAGATCGATAGTGTCTTTGAAGGCTTTCGGATCCAACAGAAGCGTTGTTATGTCTTGGAACATTATTCCTGCAATTATTAAATTTATACGTATTTACGTATCTAACCGTATACACGAGTATATGTATTTACATTGCGGAAAAAACCACCGACTTTTAAGAAGATGAAGGGAAAAATTTTACTAGCACTTTTTGAAAGAAAGACGGGGAATTTCGATTAGTGCCCAGATTTTCCCGAGAACCAACCGGAAATCTCGGATGCTGTAAGCATGGTTTGGATCGATTTAAAAACTTTTGAAAATTCCTTTTAGAGATTTCACTGCGATCGGATTAAAAGACGAGATCTTGTGGTACATTAAACGAAATAAAAAAGGAATCCAGAATTTTCTCGGCAATCAAACAGCTTCAGAGCTCCAGGAAAAGAAACTAAACGACCGCATAAGTCTGTGTTCTGTTGACCCGCATTTTCTCGGGAAACAAACAGAAAGGGGCGATATAAAAAAAGGCAATAGCTTGATCTTTTTTGTCGATGTTAAACCAAAAAGAAAAGGAAGACGCATTTATGAAACTTTTTATGAACGAGTTTTACAACCCCCGCGTTCCGAAAATTGAAGCAAGCCCAGAAAACGATTCCCTTGCAACCGCATTTTCTCGGCGGCCAAACAGGGATGGCGAGAAAACGGAGGAAAAAAAGGGACTACCTTTCTTGGGAAAATGAGGGACGACGCGGATCTTAGTTTTGATTCCATCGATGCGAGGGTCCTCCTGGCCTGCCTTTGCCGACATTGTCCGAATAAATTCCCGAAAGAACTCAAAAACAAAATCGACAGAAGATCTTCTGTATTTATCTCTGCTTCCGAGTGTCTGTTTCAAAGGAGAGAGAGAGAGAGAGAGAGAGAGAGATTATTGCAGGGAAGAAAGATAGGGAAAGTAGTCATTATGAGTATTTATAGAGATAAGAATCCTCATGTTATATCATCCCCCAATAACTTTGTTCAATTTCCCATAACATTATATTAATTTATCAATAATTTTTTTTCTAGCTATTCTTTGTTTCTACTCGTATATGCTTCAAAAAAGTATTTAATATTTATGGAGAAGGATCGAATGGAGTAAATATGACATTTTATTCTTTATAATTCGTGGCTTAGAGGAGTAAAGAATAATATTAAATGTATGAAATAATTAATAGTAAATTATACATGTAATTAACTTTTGTATTAAAATAATAAAACTCGTGCTTAGTTTCATTTTTTAAAAATAAAAAGGAAGCGTGCATTAAACCAGGGAAAAGCAAGAGCCTGTTGTGTTGAGCCGTTTCGCGCCCTTGGCGAAATTTTTTAGTATTATTATTTGACAAAGAAAAGAAAATCCGAAATCGAAAAGACAAATGGGCCGCTTTCTTTTCCCATATTTACAGATATACCCTCCGCCGTCTCTGTCAGCACAAGAGGGTTATTTCATAAACGAAATAATTACGAAGCGATTAAATGAATTTTGTCCCTAATGATGTTTGGTTTGAACGGAAATACTCAACTTGGTGATGGTATAACTGTTATTCGACCATATATTTATGTAATTCAATTCAATATTACTGTTATAATACTTTTCACCTCTAAGTTTTGGGTTTGATCCCCACCACCATGGGCTTTTTAAACTAAAAACTCGCAGTCGCAGGTAAGTTCTGATGCATAATTGCCTGTCAATTTAGTTATTTTCCTGGTAATTTCAGAAACGCTTTTAAATTTATTCAATATTTATAAGAAAAAAGTAATATATATATATATAGGGTATAGGTAGGTATTTATTAGATTCATAGGAGCATATGTTATTATATTAGTGGACTCTTTTGACAGGTCGATGGATATTGTTCGGTGGTCCAATTCACTCACTCAGTCACGAAAACAAATCTCAACATTCCAAATTGGGGGAATTTTGAAATATAATGGCTTGTTAAATTATTGAGAATATCTAATTACAAAAAAAGGACGAATTTTTTTTTAAAAAAAAATTGAAGGTTTGATCTTTTATACACGACGGATAAAACCCTTAAAAAACCCCAAACTTGCAAAAATATATACAAATAAACCTTCAACTTGAAAAATTGTAATTCAATCCCCGAACTTGTAATTTGTCACTGAATAAAAGCTCGAACTTGCAAATTATTGCTCTAATAGATCTTTGACCGGTTTGACCACAATTTCAAACGATCGGAAATCCACGTATTAACGGATTGCTGATATCATTTTTTAAATTAAAATTGATAACGTGTATAAGATTACATCAACAATTCGTTAATACGTGAATTTTCGATCGTCTGAAATTGTGGTCAAACCGGTCAAAAGTTTATTAGAACAATAATTTGCAAATTCGAGGTTTTATCCAGTGACAAGTTACAAGTTCGGAAATTGAATGATAGTTTTTTAAGTTGAAAGTTTATTTGTATATATTTTTGCAAGTTGGAGGTTTTTTAGGATTTTACCCGATTTATACACATTTATGGTATATTGCTGTATTGTTTTCGTCCATGGTCACTAAGAATGAACATTAAATTAAAAGGGACATGGCATTTGCCTAACTCTCATATCTAAAACCTACTTTCCCGAAACAGTCCAAAGTGGGAGTGATGGGAAAATCTCTGTGATAGATCTTGTGGGTCTATTTGTAATTCTATCATATATAATTTTATATATATATATATAAAACACAAGTAGATAACATCCATACTTTATTTTTAATTTCTAATTCAAGTCATGTAAAAATAAAAATAAAATCTGTTTGGGTTTTATCTTTTAAAACATATTCATGATAAACGAATATTGTAAATATATATAAAAAAACTAAATAAATAATTTTTTTTAATGCTTTATGCAGTTACACGGACCCAATTATGTTCATGTGGTAAGAACATGAAAACATCATACATATGTATCATATTTATATACAATAAAAACATTTGTATTTTTTGCATCTTACATTCTGACAGTAAAATACTCCAAAACCACTGGTATACATATATATAGTATGGCCTGTCCATCAATCAAAGAACCATCGTCATGTTCCCTGTAGTATATAGTTTGAAAATAGGGTATACTTATAAATTATATTTTCTCCTTATACAAAGGAAGATGAAAAAAAATTGAAATGGGCAATAAATGATGATCTTAATTTGAAAAAATAAAAATGAGAAAAGGTTAGAGATTGCGCAGTACTAGAATCGGTCGAATCAGTTAGATACTCTCATAAATATATTTTTTTTTGTCAAAAGATTTGTATTCCATTAATAAATGTCTCTTCCTTCCGATTTTTAAATTGTTTCATATTTCATTTTCATTTAACATTACCAACCACAAAAAAAAAAAATTGTATAATAATCTAACTAAAAATCTCAAAGTTGCATATACATGCATACATAAATTGGGCCTAACAGGCCCAAATTAGAACAATGGACCATCTTATAAATAATATAAGGCCCATGAAGGAATTATGTGGAAGCTGAACCATTCGGAGATGTAATGACTTGCACACAAAGTTGAAGAAAAGACGAGAACTTTGTTTATAATTATGTGAATATAAAACACCTAAATCCAGTCTCGTTAGCATACCAAACGACCCATCGATAGATATATTCGTACCGATCAAAAAACAGGAAGAGCCCCTGTTCGTGGTCAGTGATCAGACATACCTTGAACCCTGTCCTTGATCTTCTGCAGAACCCCATCAATGGCGATGTCAAAAGCATCCTTCTTGTTCATCAATCCGACAGAAGCTCCATGCCTCCGATACATAACCCTCGGAATCAAATCTATCACTCTCTCCCTCTTCCTCACCACTTCCTCTCTCGGTATATTCATCAACACGTCCGCGATTCTCTCGCCTCTGTACACAATGTCCTCTTTAGCTATGGTGACTGCGAATTCCGAGAATTCCTCCGACGGTAAATGCCACTGGTACTGCATTTTCGCGGTCAGGTCCTCGAAGAAAACCGGTATACAACCGGCCAGTATCCCGTCGAAGGTCGCCCGTCTCGTCGGCGTATCTCCCGGCGGTTGCAGACAAAACGTGGATTGCAACATCGGCCTCATGTACCGGATGGGGTCGTGTTCGCATACTCCGTTGGAGCAATCCACAAACTCGCAGATCTTGCTCTGCCCGTTCCCCGCTAAAATCGATGAAATTTCCGGTTCTATTTCCGGTTCGGTCAAGTTCGAGCACTCTAACCGGATACTCCGCCGGATATTCGGCGACGAGGACGTTCCTCCGCCGCCGGCGAAGAGCATCAGCGTCGTCCGCCGCGACCGGCGCACGCGGCGGATCCACGACTCGTAAAACGGTAAGCTGTGAGGGTGAAACGACGTGGGATAAGGAACCGCTTGCTCTTGCCATGGCCAAAACCTAGATTCAAGCGTCAAAGCCGTGACATTGAAGAACTCAGGCCGTTCAAGGAAGGAGGTTCCCCAGATCGGAGGGTCAACGGTCAGCGGCTGGGGGGAATCCATAATGGCTTGTTAAATTATTGAGAATATCTGGTAAGCTGTGAGGGTGAAACGACGTGGGATAAGGAACCGCTTGCTCTTGCCATGGCCAAAACCTAGATTCAAGCGTCAAAGCCGTGACATTGAAGAACTCAGGCCGTTCAAGGAAGGAGGTTCCCCAGATCGGAGGGTCAACGGTCAGCGGCTGGGAGAAATCCCAAGCGGGTCGAGCCATGACGAGGAAATGGTCGTGACCCGAGTGACGAGACCAGATCTCTGGCGAATCCCGGGTCAAGACCCGGAAAAGATCCGACCCATGATCGGAACTGGAGTTCTGATCGGGTCCGTAGAGGAACCGGAGCGAATCGAAACCGGCATAGTAAGGGAGATAGATCGCGGAGGCGAGATTCGGGTCGGGCGTGAGACAAGGGTATTCGAGGATCCGACGGTGGAAGACAAGCTCGAGGAGGAGCGGGTCAGTCCGGTACCAGCTGCGGGTCCGGGCATGGGTTTTCGGGCCGAGACCGTGGTTCGCTAAGAACGGGCATAGATCGTCGGTGGTTGGGTATTGGTTGCACGTCGCGAGGAGATCGAGGTTGAACCGCGAAGGGAGAGTACGGATGTGGATCCAACGGTCGGTGCAGTCCGAATCGACGGCTGAGATTTGCTGTGGAAGTGTAAGTTTGGTGAAGAAGACGATGAAGAAGGTGATGGTGATGGCAATGGCGGATTTGATGGCCATCGGGATGGAGATTTTGCGGTTTCAGAGTGGTGGATGTTTTTTTTTCCCATTTTTTTTTCTCTTCTATAAATGTCAATAATATAATTTTCATTATTATTATTATTTGACTATTATTATTGTTTTACGTGTCTTTTTTTTTTTAAACATGTGTAAAGATCTTGCATCGAGTTTGCAGAGAATCTAATCTAAGATCCGACCGACGGTGTTTTAAGTCAGTTTGGAACACATTAAAAATCGGTTATGTTTATGTTTGAAGCCCAATACACATTTAATCTTTCTTCTTCTAATGTTACTTTACACAATACATAATTCCCAAACTCATTGGGCTGGGCCTTACAAATATGACGTAACGGCCCATTTTACAAAGAAAGATACGGCCCACTACTTGAATATAATGCTTAAAAAACACACATATATATATATATATATATATATATATATGGGACATTAGAAACTCATGCAAATAATATATAGTAGATGACTTTATATTATATGATACGTGTCTTGTTCACTAGGATTTGGTGTGACATGCTAACTGCTAATCATGTAATTTTTTTTAATGCCCCTCGTCGTCGGTAGCCAAAAGGTTTCTTTTTATTAGCTGGCTACATCTATAAATAAAAAAAAAAATAATGATTTTTATTACATATACAGATGAAGTTGGATACTGTATATATTACAAATGTAGTTCACATGTCACTGGCTAAATACCCCTTTTTTTTCTGTTGCTTAAACAGTTTTGTGATTGATACTATTCATTGGTTAAATGAATATGGTTCAACATAACAAAACAAATATTATTGACTAATTATTTGATGCGAGTTGATTGGTTTTGTCATCTATTTTATGTACATATACTTTTGTGTATCATGTATTCAAAACTCGAAAATTTGGTGTTTGAATCATACATATTGCTGGTAAATGAGAATATAAATTCGAATATTGTCACTAGTTATCCAATATAACTATAACTATTTGTAATGTCTATTAAAATTTATAAAGTACTTTAATCTTTCTTATAATTATAAAATTATTTTTAAATATTTTTTAGAAACTATAAAAATAGTTATCGTATTTATTAAAATTTGCAAAACAATTTTCACCACCAATGATTTATTAAAAATAGTTATAGTCGGACCACATGTGGGTTTGACAAAACTCGAGGTTAGCGGTCGCCACCACCAATGATTTTCTCATAATTGAACTCATATTTAACAAGCTAAGTACAAGCTGTCACTTTTTCTATTGACAATTAATTTTTTTTTTTTTAAAAAAAAGAGGAAAATAAAGTTTAAAAATAGTAAATGTAAATCTTTAAAGCACATTTGCCTACACCGGCCGTTTACCGATGTATAAATTTGAAACTTGCATCCGTACAATTAATAGTAATTATAATATGAATATCTGCGGTCAAACCAAGGAAAAATCAGTCGTCTTTAATTGCTTTTGATTACGAATTTAACTTGTTTGAATGGGCTTTAGAAAGTCTTAAATAATTGTTGTAACGTTGCAGATAATTATTAAATTATTTAGTGCAAGAATTTAGGTGTGCAGATTTTGGTTCAGATCTTAAAACCAATTGGTTGTGTCTGTCTGAGATTTTCAAATCAATCAATTAAATATATTAAAATAACGATAAATTAATCATACAAAAATTGAGATTTTTTTAAACTAAATCAATACAATCTGAACCGAACCAAATGTACTGAATACGAATAGTTTTTATCAACTGAAAAAAATATAAAATTAAACGAAATTAAAAATACGACATATATTCGAAAACACCCATAGATTGATAGATGAGTTAGAAAGAGGTCGTCGAAAATATTCGCTCGTGATTTTAAAAATAAATTAAATTGGATGGTTCGTTCAACCCAAATTTAATGCCCATCTTAATTTTATACTTCCCTTAACACAGAAGGAGGTTGAATAATTCCATCGATGTAATCAGATCCAACAAATTCTACCTAAATTACGACAGAATTTAATTCCGTTTGAATATATCTATTTTTGTTTACTTTGAATATATCTAACCCCACTGTTTAAAACCAACAATATTATTAAAAAAAATCAATTTCGTAAAGATTTGACTAGGGGATGGCTATTTCAGTCATTAACCGAATAATCGAACCGAATCAAACCGAATAAAATATAACCGTACTCAAATCGAAACCGATATCAAAACCAAATAGTTATGATTTTTGTAAACCCAAAAAAAACCTAAACCGAACCGTATTGAATAAAAATTAAGCGAAAAACCGATAATTTCTTTGAAAAATGATTTTTTTTACCGAATCGAATCGAAACGAAATTTATATAAAAACCGAATGGTTATAGTTTTTCTGTAAACGAAATAACCGAACCGAAACCCACCCCTATATTTGACGTCGAAGAATCCAAGAGATCAATATAAACCAATTACTATATACTATATATTAACATGAAATTACTTAACATGATATAAAATTAAATATGTGTGTAACCCTGATTCTCCGCCGTTAACTTGTAAAGGTGACGTTTTGAGTAAATTTCTAGAAATAAAATTTAAATAAATTAAACGAGGACAAGAAAAACGACATGAAGAAATGTCTGGTCCGATTAATAATGTTCTTTATGGGCAAAAACTCTCACGAACCTCGTCAGATCTGATTCACGTATGATGTCATAATGACATCATCTGGCGGTTGGATTCAGCGTAGGATACACGTGGCGAAGCTTCCAAACAAGTTGAGCTCTCTTGTCTTTTTTACTTCACGTCGCTCCTGTTTGGTTGAGTTCACGTCGCTTTAATTTAGCTGACGACGGCGAGTACGAATCCATATCCTACGCGCACGAGTAGAACGAATCGCAGCCGTTAATTTAACTCGTAGTGGGACCCGCCATTAGATTTCATATGGTTCTAGAATTTAAAAATAAGCCCCCGTGATTTGAACTCTTGTTCTCAACTAACCAACGTCGTTAGTTACGGGTTTAACATTAAATTTTACAACTTTAAACCCCAACACACTACCCCGTGATTTTACAGAAATTACAATCCAGCCCCCCGATATCCACGTGATTTGCAACAAGATCCTCGCGCCCCATGAGCTTTTCCCGCGTGATCACCCCCACCATATATATTTTTTAAAATAATTAAAACATAATTATTTATTTATATTCGGGTGTTCAAACTTAGGTTCGATTTGTTGGAAATGAAAATTTGATTGAAAGATTAAGAATTCAGATAAATCTCTTTATTTTCCCGACATTTCGCATAACTTTAACATTTCGTTTCCTTTTTTTATCGATTTATCTTCGTCTCTCATTTTACTTAGTACTGTAAAATATAAACAATATAAAGTAGATTTTTCGTCTTTCATTTTTTTTTCTCTCATCTTAATCCCCATTGTTTAGTTTCTCTCGTTTTTTTAATATCCCTAACTTTAAACTATTAAATAATCTAAAAATATTCAAATATTTCATTTATATGAATTCGATTTCAATTTGCCAATTTTAAAATTTTCGTTTTCTCTGGATTCAACCAGCGGTGCTGCTGCTATATTAAAAAAAAAAAAAGACAAAATGAGGCCAAAAAAAGCCACTTCCCAATCGTACCTAATGGGGCCCATGAATGGCCCAACCAACACGTGGTTAACGTCACCACTAATGGTTTTTACACGTGGCGTCCACGCGCTTGTTCTTCACTGACTCACCGCCACGTGTCGTTTGACGAGCCAGCTAGTTCATGGGAACGACTATTAACGTCCTCCCTTGCGGTTATCGTTCTATCTTTACTTTTGTCACTTTATGAAAAATAAAATCGAGTGATTTTAAACCGTTGGATCTGATCAATCCGACGGATGATTCTTTTTCCATGTCCAATTTAATTTTCTTAATTTTAGAAATGATACTAATCATATATAACAAAGTTGGGAATCTTATCAAATATCATTAATTTCAAAGATACGATATGATCTAATTGAAAAAAAATCCTAAGCCTCTAGGTTAATTAACTATGCGTTACACAGGAAATGCATGAATATATAAAAATATATACTGATTATAATATACGATCTAACCATATGATTGTAAGAAACGATTAAAATAACATGAATAAAATAAGAAATTAATAACGTGGTATGGGTGGTTCAGGAAATGTTTTAAATAAATAAATCGAAAGGTGCGATGGCTCATTTGGTAAATAAGTCAAACATGGGAGGTATTTGAGAGTAAAAAAACGCGTGAGAATCCTTGTAAACCACGTCTCTCGCTCTGAGCTCCCAAACGGACTCTATAAATACCCAAGCCCTCTTCCGGTGTTTCCTTCTTCCTCCCTCTCCTTCTCCTATATTCCCGATCCTTTGAATCTTCCCCCAATCTCTCTCTCTCGCGCGATTCCTAGGGTTTTTTTTTTAGAAAAAAACCTCTGAATCTTGTCTTCCCCAATACTTTTCCCCTATACGATCTCTCTCAGATTCCGTTTCCTACGGAGCGAAATCTGCATTCCCTGTTTGGTTGCCGGGAAAACGAGAACAAGCGCTTTCCGACATTCTTTCCCGATTGATTTTGCTGCTCGTTTGAATCAGGTTCGGATTTCAAAACTACTGTGTTTTTTTTTTTGAAAAATTCCTGGATCGATCTCTGGCGTTCTGTTTCTACAGCTTTGCGTTCGATCAATTTAGGTTTATTCTTTCCGAATTCAGAATTTCCCGATCTTGTGCGTGAAGATTTTCGTCCTTTTGTTCATAGTCTTCGTATACCTCTTGCTCTCTGTTTGGATTCGGGCCTGTTTCAGCCTACGCCCGAAATCTGAGAATCGTTTGTGTTTCGCCAAAAATTCTTCGTTCTCCTCATTTCTTTTTATCCTGAAATCTTAAGGAACCCTCGCACAATGAACTGGCTACTCTGTTTTTACAATAGAAGCATGTTTCGACATATTTGAACTCTAAAGAATAGTTTAATACGTGCGATTAGAGAGAGATGTAGACAAGATTGATATTGTATCTCTTTGGTTTGATACGTCTGATTTGTCCAAATTCTAGTTATGTTAAAAGTTTTGTCGGTGTCTCTCTCTTTTTTAATTAATAGAAACTGTCGTACGTAGAGGGTAAAAGATGTTGAAATTTCCGGTACCTGTCATAATCTGGCCCTCTTTTTCTATTTGCAAAACACTGAAATCGAAAAGGACGGGGAAAATAACAGGAAATTCACACGACCCTTCTGAAAATGACGAACTTTTTGTTTGTTTGACTTTTATTAGTTCCCAAACTGATGAACCCTGTTTATGTTCTCGAGAACTTCGGTTTTACAATATCTTCTTGTTAAAAAAACCGCTCTCTAAGATCCGACCGACGGTGTTTTAAGAG